CTGAGACTGATACTGATCTTCACATCTGATTTTACATTTTATGTCCTCGTTACAGTACACAAACCCTGATTTTTTTTTTTTTTACTTTTGCCATAACTTTCCAAATTGTCTGAAGTAATCATGAGTCAGCTGTGCATGTTTGAGATCTACTGATATTTTACAAATATGTTTTAGAATGAGGAAGCATGTCAACCAGTGCAGCAGCGTGCGTTTCCTAAATGTCTTTTTAATTGTTTAAAAGGTCTATGGCACAGATGAATAAGCTAATCTGGGACTGATACACATTAACAATAAGTAGAGGCAGTTTATTGTTAGTTTTAGTTTCTGTATGGGAAGTGTTTGAAATACTGTTCATATAGAAAATCCTTTAAAGTTCTTGTGGATGTTAAAATTGGCCAGTCCTGATGCAAATAGCACACCAGTACAGTAATACCCCTCTCTTCAAATCAATCCTAACTTCTAATTTTCCTTACAGCTTACAGTTGTGCAGTAGGAGCTCTTCTGTCATAGCTTTGCACCTAATTGTGTGACCTTATTCAGGCAGAAAATAAGCAGCGTGCCACATAATGAACAGTAAACAGTGATCAGAATCAGTTAAACACTTAAGAATAGTACAGTATATCAAGATTTGCCGGCTCAAAGCTCCACTGAATCATCATCAGCGTGAAGGAGCTCGGTCTGCTACTTTGTGAAACTACTAACTCAACCATCTAGTATTAATGCCACATTCATGTCAGTATCAGCTCATATCAGTCGTTTTGTGCTTCAGCTTCTCACTTATTACAGGACAGTCCAGCTGTCTTAATCAGTGAACACTAAACACAAAACAAATGTTAGCTACATTTCTTCAAAGGACAACACGCACTGGAAGCTAAAAACACTTCTAATGTCTACTGTACAGGAGTGTCATTTGAACAAAATTGAATAATATTTTGACTGATAGTTGTTTACTGCAAAAGGCCATAAAATTCAAATAAATCATGTGGATGTCTCTATGTGACAGGTTGTTATGTATGAGCAAAGTATGGACCAGTTGAAACACATTGTGCATTTCTAATAATAAGCTGTGAGAATTTATCATCTCGTTATAGAAAGTGCCACTCTTCTGAGAGAGGGAATGACACTTTTCAAGCAGACTATCTACACACTTGACAATCATTGTTTTTGGCAGGTGAAGTTAGCTGAAAAGGAGCTCACAGGAAACCATGAAGGGTGAGTGGTCAGGCTCGGGTGGAGCAACAGGTTTGCTAACATGTGAGATGGAAGAATTACTTATTGTTATAGACCAAACATGGTAGGTAGTTTCACTCCTATTTTACTCACGCCCCACCCAGTACATGACATGCAGATAGTTTGAACTGCTGATGAGGGTGTGCTGATTCTTGGTGATGAAAGATGGGTTTCTATGAACTGGGTGTGTGGTTTAACAATAGAAACATTATCACACACAGGAGAGAGCAAGGAACAGGTGGTGAGGGTGAGGAATTAGCTGTTCAAATAGAGGTTATTTATGGAGGAAAACTGGTGAAATACAGTTTAAAAGAACTATTGATTGTATTTGAGGTGCAGAGTTCAGGTAATGGCCAGAGAGGAGCCGTATAACTAGGATCTAGACTCAGTGAGAAACTATGGTTCTTTAATGATAATCACTGATAATGATAATCTCTTTTATTGGCCAAGTACGTTAAACACACAAGTCATGTCTCTGATACAGAAATGAGGCAGCCATCTGCAGTACCAACTCACATGCACACCCACACACACACACACAGATGGCAGCGCTGTCCCTGCAAGGTGCTGCCCTGGCCATCAGGAGCAACTTGGGGTTTAGTGTCTTGCCAAAGGACACTTCGACATGTGGACTGGGGACAACAGGTATCAAACCGCCGACCTTCCTTGGAAGATGACTGCTCTACCAGCTCTTATGCAACCATTAAAGGTAGCAGCTCATGACCTCCTGGTAAGGTGCAAACTTGTGTTAACAAATTTCTGCTCAAATTACAAGTGGTTCAACCCAGCTGTTTCTTAGATTAAATATGTGGCTCTTTGTCATGACCTTCGTAGTTTGTACATTACACCTTGATTTGTTGACATAGTGATCCCTACCCAAGTCTTAGTCAAAACATTCCATGTTTTCCTGCAGTAGATTGCATCCTTAAAGGTGTTTTCTTGAACCAACAAACTGTCTACTCTCTGCCTGAAATAATAACATGTAGAGTTAAGTGATCTCGCTCCTGGGGATTGAGTAGAAAACACCATCTGGCCAAACCATGGACACGTGTTGAGGTCACAAATGTTCCTAAGTTGGACCAACATTTATGGGAAATCAGAACAGCAAACTTTTCTCCAGTAACTCCCTCCAGAGCTCCAAGTCATGTATACTATACAGTGGGTACGGAAAGTATTCAGACCCCCTTAAATTTTCCACTCTTTGTTATATTGCAGCCATATGCTAAAATCATTTAAGTTCATTTTTTTCCTCATTAATGTACACACAGCACCCCATATTGACAGAAAAACACAGAATTTTTGACATTTTTGCAGATTTATTAAAAAAGAAAAACTGAAATATCACATGGTCATAAGTATTCAGACCCTTTGCTCAGTATTTAGTAGAAGCACCCTTTGGAGCTAATACAGCCATGAGTCTTTTTGGGAATGATGCAACAAGTTTTCACACCTGCATTTGGGGATCCTCTGCCATTCCTCCTTGCAGATCCTCTCCAGTGCTGTCAGGTTGGATGGTAAACGTTGGTGGACAGCCATTTTCAGGTCTCTCCAGAGATGCTCAATGGGGTTTAAGTCAGGGCTCTGGCTGGGCCATTCAAGAACAGTCACGGAGTTGTTGTGAAGCCACTCCTTCGTTATTTTAGCTGTGTGCTTAGGGTCATTGTCTTGTTGGAAGGTGAACCTTCAGCCCAGTCTGAGGTCCTGAGCACTCTGGAGAAGGTTTTCGTCCAGGATATCCCTGTACTTGGCCGCATTCATCCTTCCCTCCATTGCAACCAGTCGTCCTGTCCCTGCAGCACCCCCATAGCATGATGCTGCCACCACCATGCTTCACTGTTGGGACTGTATTGGACAGGTGATGAGCAGTGCCTAGATATGTCCACACATACCGCTTAGAATTAAAACCAAAAAGTTCTATCTTGGTCTCATCAGACCAGAGAATCTTATTTCTCACCATCTTGGAGTCCTTCAGGTGTTTTTTAGCAAACTCCATGCGGGCTTTCATGTGTCTTGCACTGAGGAGAGGCTTCCGTCGGGCCACTCTGCCATAAAGCCCCCGACTGGTGGAGGGCTGCAGTGAGGGTTGACTTTCTACAACTTTCTCCCATCTCCCGACTGCATCTCTGGAGCTCAGCCACAGTCATCAAGTGCAGCAGAAATTTTTTTTGTAACCTTGGCCAGATCCGTGCCTTGCCACAATTCTGTCTCTGAGCTCTTCAGGCAGTTCCTTTGACCTCATGATTCTCATTTGCTCTGACATGCACTGTGCAATATAACAAAGAGTAAAAAATTTAAGGGGGTCTGAATACTTTCCGTACCCACTGTGTATATATAACAATTATTTGACTAATCAAAAAAATGATCGTTAAATTATTCGACAGAAAAATAATCGTTAGCAACAGCCCTAAAACTAACGAATCGGTGCATCATCATCATTGGAGCTGTAAGAGTGATCGAGGTCTTATTGTGACCAAAACTGTCAGCTTTGACAGACTCAAATCACCCCTGTTGATATAGCTGCTTTGTTAATAAAAAGTGTAGGCCAAAGATCAAATGAGAATTTTTTAGCTCTGTGTCCAGGTATGATCACTCAGCAATGTTTGAGCTAATAAACAAAAATTATGACATAGGAGTCCATTAGGTGTTCAGAGCTACCAGTATATTAACACATATATTAAATGATTGTAGCATATGGCTGCAATATAACAAAAAGTGAAAAATTTATGGGGGTCTGAATACTTTCCGTACCCACTGTATGTGGTTTGCACATTGCTGAAAGGATTACTACATTTATATGGGATTTTTTGGTCCTTATACTAATGACTAATGCTGGGATCATGCATCCAATTTCAGAACAATCCTGATTCACAAAAAAGTGGCTAATTACAATCAGTCGCCTGTCCTTGTTTAAATTTTTTCATTTCTCTCTCTGTACATGCAATTATTTTGAAGAAATTCAAAAGAAAAAAAGCTTTTGTGAATGAATCTCATAGTTTTTACAAAATGGTGTTATGATTTTGTGTTACTTTTAAGAGCTGTTCCATGATGAGAAAGCTCAAAGCTACAATGATGAATAAAATGATCCCAGTCACACAACAGTCCCACTTAATTTCCGAAGATTCATGGTGTAGATTCATGCCGTAAACAAATCCTTAAACAACAGACTCCGTTTTTGTTGCAGTACTGGTACTACTTCTAGTTACTTTACTGATGAAGTTTTAAACTTCTGGCCTGTTTGTGGGTGGACAGCTACTGCACAGACAGGTACATTAACATAACGTAATCTATTGTAGTATTCAAGTTTTTCCATTTTGTGAAACCCAATATTTATCTCTGTTTGACAGCTGTAATCACAAATCCCTTTGCAGAAAAAGGGTTTTAAAAGGTGAGTTCTTCCATGGCCAAGAACGACCCAAATACCAACAGTTTCCTATCTGTAGTATTGTATTACAGTGGGGAAAGCCTGGAAAAAAACAGCACTGTAAGATTCTGTAAGTGGACGACTACAGATTGTCCCCAGTCAAAGAGCTTCTAAACAAGCAGGTCTCTGGAGATACTTATTTTTTCTATAAGTGGTAAAAAAGGAGAAGAAGAAAAAGCTGTCAAACCAACTAATGTCAAACTTCCCTGGAGCTACTAGGAAAACACCCTTTTAATATAAATGAAAATAAGTTTTAATATGAGTGGTGTTGTCCCATGTTGACTTTAACAGGAAGAAACAGGGACCTTTAATGGTAAAACTGCTGGTACATGATACTTCTGCACCTTACCTGTCCTAACATGACTCCAATTTGTGAAGACAGACCTCAGGGCAGCTGGTGTTATCGGTTTACAGCCACTGCACATTGAGTTTGGACCCAGGTTCAGATGGCAAAATTACTGTGTGAAAGAGAAGAACATTGAGCCAGAGGTAATGATACTGTGATTTTCAAGCTACTGTACTTAACTGAAGAACGTTTTGGTTTGAATAAAATTAAAGCTGCTTAATAAACCTGACTTTTATTCATTATAATTGCTGAGAGTGTGTAACTTTATAGGATATCATTAAGTTGAACCTGCCATTAAGATTCTCGGTAAATATAATTATGCCCCCTGCAGGTACCACACATATGTAAATACTTTCACTGGAGCCCAAAACTTTACAGTGGCACACTTGTGTAAAAGAACTAGAACTGTAAAAGAACTTCTGACTAATTGAACTTTGGCTTTATGGTTCACAGGGCACACAAAGACTTTGAGACTCTGGAGAACTCAATCAAAAGAATCCATCATTGTCATGCATCTAAACAGGTTTCAGGTTTACATTTTTCCCTGACCATGCCCCACCACACCCAGGAGAGGTCCCTTATGCACATACCTGGCTCCATGCCTGTCACAGTGTTTGCTGTGACTGACATGCCTTTTGACTGCAGGATGTTTAAATAGGAGGCAAAGGGCTTGTAGTTCTTCACTCTCCTCTGTTGTTGCCTCCAGCTACAGCTGAAAAAAAGCATCCATTATGGCCACCAATTTCAGCACTCGCTCTATGGTGAAGACCTACACTTCCAGCAGCTCCTTGCTAGGCATTGGTGGTGGTGGTGGACAGGTGTCATCTATGAAGGCTGGCAGTGTGTGCGCTGGAGCAGGAGGCTATGGTGTCCGCATCTCTTCTGTGGGTGGTGGCCCCAGCAGCGGCTTCGGCGGGGGCTACTCGTTCCCTGTCAGTTACAGCATGTCCGGCATGGACGACAGCCTCATTGGCAATGAGAAGCTCACCATGAAGAACCTGAATGACCGCCTGGCCACCTACATAGCCAAGGTGCACTCCCTGGAGAAGGCCAACGCTGAGCTGGAGCTGAAGATCATGCAGTTTGTTGAGAACAAGGTCAGCCCCAAAACCCGGGACCACAGCGCCTTCTTTGCCACCATCTCTGACGTCACATGCAAGGTAACACGCGGCCTCCTGTGCAGAAGTAGAGATGTGATTTATAGGCAGATAATCTACCCCTACATCATTTGTACATTGTTACCCTGACAAAATAAACTAAGCATTTCCTATATATATTAGCTGAATAAAATGCATGTCTTTCTTAAACAAGGCACAGCACACACTGATGAAAACGGAGCCTTTTTGTTGTAGCTTCATCTTGTGATTACTTTGGTACTGCCCTTTGTGAAACCTCTCTGTTTTTAAAACAGCAGCTATGTTCATGAACCACATGTAAGATACATGGAAGAAGTAGTCAGACATTTTACTTAAGCAAAGGTATTACAAATTTTTACTTAAGTAACAAGTACATTAGTAGCATCAAAATATAACCTAAATGGAAATATTCAAAGACAGTACCTCAAATTCACATTTAAGTACAATACTTGAGTAAATGTGTTTAATTACTTGCCACTGCTGCAAGCTCAGTCCTTTTTAAGCATAGACATACAGTGAGATCTGATGAAACAGTGCTGGTAGCGATGCCTCTTGTTGTCTCCAGATTCAGGACGCCATCAAGGTGAATGGAGCCATCCGCCTCAACCTCGACAACGCCAGCCTGGCTGCAGGCGACTTCAGGACCAAGTAAGTCCAAATGTTCCCCCCCTTCCACAAGTACAACAAAGACCCATGAGGGTGGAATGACAATAATAATTAATGAAAACGTTAATTCATAAATAAGTACTGCTATTTGCAGTAGCAGTAGTAGTAACAGTAATATCATTAACTGCAGTAGTAATAGTATAAGCAGTAGCAATACTAGAAGTAACAGCTCATTAATTTACACTGAATAACCCATAATGACAAAGTGAACACATATACATCCATTGTAGTAGTAGTAGTAGTAACTCGAGCAATTATAGTTGTACTATTAAGTAACACTGTTTTAGACAAGTGATCACATGCCATTTTTATAAACGGCTGATCAGTTTAGATGACACAGATGTGAAGGTTACTGATCTGAATGTTAACCTGGGCCAGGTCTTACCAGACCAGATGAAACCTATGGGTACCTCCTACTTTACAGAGCAGGCTGGCAAACACTGAAACCACAGCAGAGAAGCAAGATTCAGATCAATATAGAAGCACTCTGACTCATTCACAGCCAAAGGCTTTGACTGCTTGACAGGCTGCGACAGACTGACTTTTTAAATTCATGTTTCCTCTGGCAGGTGAACAGCTTGGCCCTCAGGGCTTTACTTGGACTTACAAATCTATTCAACAGTTCAGCAGTCCGATTCTCCTGCAGTGTGACAGAGTGAAAGAGCTGTTCAACAGCACCCACCTGGCCTTTTTGTCCCTTATGTTCCCTGTATCCAAACTGACACACTGCTAATCCAATGCAAACCCCTGTAAAATTATTTGGTTGGATGTAATCATGCAGGGAAAATGTATAAGGTAGCTTTATTTTGACAGGCGTACCACTCTGCTGCATTTTGTACCTGCACTTGAAACAAACTGTGCTGTGCTCACAGAGCCACAAGATATTGCCCACAGGCCTGTCAGAAAATGTGAACAGCTGACTATATGCTGCCAGCTTCCAACACTGAAATTTCGATTTCCCTTCAAATTCATCAAGAAACAGAGCAGAGCCTGGATGAGCTCAACAGTTAGACCTAGGTACATGTAGATGTCATCACCCCCAAAAACAAGAAAAACCAAAAGAAGAACAAAACTTATTTTAGAAAGAGCATTAATCAGAGTCTGTTTTCATTGGATTTAACACCTGTAACGTACACAGACACACACACACATCTATATATATATATA